GAAAAAATTTGGATATCACATTTGAACGAAAGTATCCATTTTAGCAGAACGGACAGAATAAAGGACTGTTGCCGAAAATGATTGTAAAATGGATTTAAAATGAACTCAAAAGATATTTTTTGCAGAACGTCTGTATGCATGTAAGCACGTAGGTATCTCACATAACTGAAGAACGAGTAGCCGTAGAACTTTGAAATTTTGTATATGGGACATGTAGCGTGCTCATTCCTTTTTCGTTGCAATCGGCTGCACCAGTCGTGTGTATAAGTATATATATATATATAGATAGATAGATAGATTTGTAAGCTATAGCAAAATACGATAGCTTCTTTAAAAAATAATCGGCGACCTCAAAATTAGCAATCTAGATTTGATGCTCATCATCTGTTCATCATCATTCATCATTCATCTGTTCTCCCTAATTCGAGATTTTTCTACATTATGTAACGTTACTTGAAAAGAAACAACTAAAACTGAAACTACCAATCATAGATTAACTTTACTTGTACATCGAACTTGGTATAAATACCGCTGGCGTTTAATTACGTCATTATTCTTCTGCATTTCTTTCCCTAGCTTCCGTCTTTGCTAACGTAGCTTCTATACTCTGCTAAAATGATGTCGTTCCATTAACCTGTATAAATTGTAAATAAGAAATTATCGAAATAGCTACGATTAAACAGTATATTGTTTGCAAGGAATTATTCTAGTGTGCCTGGAAATCTGCAATAAACATGACAATTTGCTAAATCAAGTTTGGTATCAACTTCTTCCCATCGCCGTACCACTCAGCTATAGCGATTGTGATTCGAAATTATGATATATATATATATATTCCTATTCCTGGCTCGGTGAGCTGAGTTTTTTTAACTTTACATGTTGGTAAACTGTGCATTTTGTACTTACAATTAATAGAATTATGTTGTTTTCATGTTCGGGTTTTATGGTTTCGGGTTGTATTCGGATTTTTAGTTAATCTGCATGCAATAGTTGTTGAATTATCTATAAATTAAAAGTGGGGAGTTAAGGCTTATGAACCGTTATGTGTTTACATTTGAAACTCAGTAGAATAGTTCTAAGTCAATTGCTGCATCTTCAGTGTCTTTTTGCCGTATGAGACCAACTGTAAACTTTCCGTTTTCAGCGACAAAATGTAAACTTTCAGTTTTGAGCGCACTGCTGCTAATCTTCCTGCATTTAAGCGTGCGGTCAGCTAAATATCCTCTAGGCAAATGACTGTGTTGGCTAAATATCTTTTCTGCAAATATAGGTTCTTAACTATGTGTCGGTAATTTCTAATTTTTAATTTTAAATGTTAGGTGTTTTTGTTTTAGTGCATGTTCTGTTTCGATGTGTATTTTCTTTGTATCTGTTCCTGTGCTCTGTTAATAAGTCTTTCCAGAGCTAGCCGGCGTTTGTTTTTATAGAAAAACAGTTACACCTGTTGGATAAATGTCGTACGCGTAAATGTCCCTTTCGGCTAAATCTCCATATCGGCTAAATGTCCTGTCGGCTAACTGCTGTCTGCTAAATGTCTCATCAGAGAGTGGTTATCGCTAAGTTTCACCAACCTCAATCCGGTGTAACAAAGACATCTTTACCTTATAACATTTAAAAACGTCTAACTATTTAAGTATTGTTGTACTTAATGGATTACTTTATTGTTACTTATATTTGTTCCTGTTGTTAAATACTGTTTTTTTATAAGGATATTTACATCAAATAGATGAAATAACCTTAATATTAAATACTGGATATTTATTACCATGAAAATAAACACTCTTTCTAACCAATACTTCTAATTAGTTAGCGAGTTATCGGTCTTAAACTTACTATGGGCACAAAACCCAACTTAAAAGGTAACGGTTAACATAAAACCCTAACGATATTGTTACTAGAGATAGAAGTAGCACAATACAATTAACACAGCTCCTTATTAGCAGCGACATGAGGTTAATTTGCAGTACATTGGCTGGTTTGCAACTCAACCCAAATCTACAACACTGTCTATATAGGATGGTAAACTACAACTAACTTTTAACACTTATAAAAACTTGATAATGCTAGGCGTTCAAAGCTAGACGATAAGTGACCCTTTAGGCAAGCAGTAATGCTAGTGGACAGAATTCTACCTAGAATTATCGGTTACGATTTTTTCCTAAATTTAATTTAAACCATTTGCCATAAACGTTTCATAAACCGCTGGACTGAGGGAATACGTAACGAAACAGGGCATAGAAGAAAGAAATCAGCATAAAGTTAACTGTTAATCAAAGGATGCATGGTCACACTTGAAATCTTTGAGGGAAGAGTTTTTGGCATTAAGACCTCGCAAGCACTGAATGAAAAGTTTACTCTTAACTGAGTTCGAGTCACGTTGTAATTATGGTTAAAATATTCAGGCAGATGAGAATACAATAATATGAATTCTTTGCTCCCAAAATTCAAGTGCAAGTGTCTTGTATCTACTTTATTATAAAAAAAATATATTTTGAGCTGCACTGCAGTGAAGTAAGGAATAAAAAAGAGCTGTTAGCTATAAGCACAAGCACATCTTACGTAATACGTCTTCCTGTGTTATTTTCATTTTATTTATCTGTTTAGTTTCATTGTGTTTCTTTCACTATTTCCTTTTTCCATAGTTAGAATTATATTTAGTTTCCTAGCTTGTATTCTATCTTTGAGTCCTGAATAATTTGGTCTAGTTTTAAATAAAAAAACTTCAAAATGTTAACTTAAAAGTGACGTAGTATACGAATGGCCGATAATAATCCAACACGTGGTTAACGCAATACAATTAACACGCAAATACAACTTAGACAAACAAAAATACAATGAGAATATTAAAACAAAAGATTAAAATGAACTTAATAGTGTGAAAGTATTGTTAATTTAAATATTCAAAACATCTCTGAATTGAAAAGTCATAAATTTTTATGAGCTGGAAATTACGATTGGGAAAATGTAAAGTAGACTATTCTACTTCTAAAATCGAAATTTAAAAATGAATCTTAGTTTTAAAACTTAAAAATAAATCTTAGCCCTCTTCTCTAATATTTTTCAAGATTACTTCATACCTTTTAGCTATCAGTTTCAGAAAAGTAATTAAAATTTAATCAAAAGAATAAATAAGCATCATATTTTAAGAACACACAAAACAACTTATTCAACTGGAAGTTTCCAACACGGCAGAAAAAACATAGTAAATGGCTTTCTTAAGTTAACATTTGTAGGCTCAGTGTTATGTTCTAAATTTAAAAACAGTACATTGTTAAATGAAGCGTGTGGTGGAAGCACACTGTATTTAATTACGCTAAAATAACATGAAACTTCCCCAAAAATATATCTTATAAATCGTACTGTACTATTCTTTAAGTAATGTTTAGCTTTGAATAACTGAGAGATACATGATGATTTGGACGGCAAATTCTAGGTCTCTATAAAGGATATTCCTTTCTAAGCAATCACCATTCGGACATATTCTTAATTATTTTATATTTAGTCTTTCTTTTATTTGCATACATAAGTGACAAGTTAAATGAGCAAGAATAGAAAGCACAGTAAAAGACAGGCTAATAACTTTTGGCAAAGTAACGAAATCTTATCATATTTCAATGGCCTGTTACTCGTACAATACCTCAAGAATATAGCTACATTGTCTAAGCATTTTTCTTACAGAGATGAGAGAAAAGGATTAAAAGCTATTAAATGCTTGCTTCTGAAGTTTAATACATTCTATAATAGATTGATTCTGTATAATATAAGTAATATTTTTGCATTCGGTTTGTATGAAACATGTCACAAAAATATTTAAAACATAATTTGAAGATACGAATTACAAAATGTTGTGCAACCTAAAACCATTTGTTTGCAGAATGCAGGAGAATTAAATTCTGCATGACATAAACTAACTAAATTCGAGCCAACGGATTTCACTAGTAAATTACTTTACAGCGTAGATCAAGCGCTATAATAGGCGAAAGCACTTAATTTATAAAATGAGAAATTTAGGTTTAAGGGAAAGATCAATATGGGAGAAATTTGTTAAATGTTTGAAGGAGCGATATCAATCATTGCATAATTATAATTTCCTCGGTAGTTCATTTGATAGGCTATCAAATAACACTGTTACTGTCATTAATTTGGGAAGGTTATTTACTGTTAATCCTCTAATCAATAAATTAAAGATAAATTACTTCCTTCTTAAGAGTACCATTCGTTGGTTTCTCTAAGTAAAAAGGAGAGTTTCATTCATTTCAATAATAAAATTAAATTGCAGTCATGGATATTTTTGGTGGTTACTTATTATATAAGCAAAATAATTTAGCTATTAAACTATGCATATATTTTAATATATTAACGTTGATCATTAAAATGATTTAATGAGTGAGTATTTTAAAACTGATTTTGAGAACGTGTTCAATCTATGTTTGCTTAGGTGCCGTTTTCTTTTAATTAAACTACGTTGTTTCGCGTGCAGCGTAATGGCATCTCGGTAGCATTTGATTGTTTTTGTAGACCTCCAGTTGGGCATAAGTACTTAATTATAACATTTTATTAAGAAGTGTATTTTCAAAAGTTCTATTTCAATCACTTGATTTACTACTTTAATAACATAAAACCTGCATCTCTATTAAAAACATAAAGGCGAGTTATGAAATTTTAATTATTTACATTTACTAATATAATACGTAAATATGAAATTAGTAGACAGTTAAAATGCACACGTACCTAAGTAATGCAAATTTGCTCTTTCCTTAAAGAAAATTTTCTCATATACATTTCGAAATGGGTTGTTTAGAAACTTTCAATCGTACATAGTAATCCTACATGTAGGGATAAAAAGGTAAGTTTAAAAGATAATTAATATTGTAAGGAAATTCATAAGCTGAGTTATTTTGCTTCGGTTACTATATTATGAACATATAGGGTGAAAAATCACCTTTGATTGCGCTACGTGTGTAACAATAATCATTCTTCTCTCTCACCTTCCCTGACAGAAATTTTCATTGTAACATCAAGTAATGGAAGTCCGAATAATGCAAGAATATTACGATTTCCACAGTTAAACGAAGAATACTTCATCTATAAATTCTTCTGTTTTCTGGAAACCAGAGCAATGAATAGGTAAGTTACAATTCTAATTTTTTCCTTCAGATGGTTTTTTTCCTGTCATGTTTGCAACTAAACGTTTGGCTTTAAGTAACAATCAAGCTCATCTTTTCGTAGAAATTTTCACTGCTACAACTCAACTGTAATGCCCTCTAATTTCTCTAATATCTCAAGAATGTAGCATACCTGTAGTGTTTGTGCTACAGTTCTTAGTCTTTGGTGAACTAAAAATTAACAAGTTATCCAAATTATTTACGAGGGAAAAGAGCAAGCGAAATATGTAAAATACGAAAACAATTAAATGATCTAAATAATCAAAAAGCAAAATAAAATACAAATCATACACACTCAGACACTAAAATAAATTAAAAACAAATAAAATAAAAATTTAAACAAAAATAAATAAAAATAAAAACAAATAAATAAATAAAAACTGAAGCAAAATAAAATTAAAAAAGAAAATAAAATGAAAACAAACAAATAAATAAAAATGAAAACAAAATATAATTTAATTATCAGCTCACAAATGGATAGCTTTTATCAGAGCATATTTTAACAGACAGTTAAGTCCCTTACCAAAACATGTGCAGCAAACTCGGAACCACGGCTAATATCAAACGACTGCAGTGTCTGATTGAGTAGTTAGACATGACACCTAATTGTTGCCAATACAAGTTAATTAAACTAGCTACACGCGTTATTTGAATTCTACCTAAGTTCCATTTTGGTGAGTGCTAACGGGTAGTAGGAATATAGGTTAATATAAAATTATTAATCATATAAATTAAACCTTACAGTGTAACACAGAAACGCCTGAAACAATATCACTTTAATGACGGACAATTCATGACGAAATATTTAATGATATACTTTAATATTCGTCTGGTATTCGCATTTAATTGAAAAACGACATGTGGACTCTCTTAGATTTTAAAAATACAGGTATTTCAATCTGGGTTCAAATACTTGCGAAGAAAGCTGATTATCTGAACGATTTCGCGGTTTTCCTCATGCATGATGTGAACATGAGCCAATTTCTTCCAGAAAGTCTTCCATGAATTCATCCCTTCCATTAAGAAGATAGACCCTGTAGACTTTGCATTTATAGATAAGCCTAACTATGAATAAATATTCTAGCTTTGTACGAAGATATGACACTCATTCTTTATATATACTATATTGCATCACATATATTTTTCAAGTTCCCATACTATGAAGATTTCGTGATTTGTTCAAGGTTTTTGAAGGATGGGCCAGTTATCCAGTTTTGCAACAATGTCCTACATACATTTCTGACAGGAATTTAAACTTTTTATTGGTATTTCTGCGTCAAATGGCTTTATACAGTTACGGAAGTCAAAATGGTTGCCTAATTGCAGTTACAATCTAGAATTGTAATTGTAAATCTGGAGTATAATACTAATGCTCAGGTAATATAGTTTCCGTTTCCCGCACTCGACGTAAAAAATTATCAGCCTTTCCGTTATTGGGTTAAATACTTCTCTTGTCATTATATTGTTATTATTTTAAAATTGATAAATATTCTGGCTAAACTTTGTGTATTTTAAAAATTACTTCTCTTTGTTTTGTACGACGTATTTTCGAAAGGTTTTATTTTTTAAAAAAAGTTTAAAGATGAAATCTAATAAAAATGTTTGCGCATTTAAAAATTAGCCATAGAGCTACATATATTCATGGAAGCTTAGGAACATCACATTTTACTCTTTCTAAACAATCTAAGAGGTAATCATTCAAAGTATTCCAAGAATTGTTACAGCTGATAAAGGTATAACTAGTACTTAAAAGTTAAAATATTTATAACATATATTTGAAAAGGCGTAATTCACAAACACATTGTAATTCAGTTTCAAATATCTATATTTTTTGGCTGTTCTTCTTTCATCGCCTCCTGAATAGTTTATCTTTCTAATCTTCTATTTACTCTGAGGCAAGATACCGTGAAATTAAAAACTTTAAAAGAAAAAAAAAAAGAGACAAAAAATGGAAAGAAAATCTTCCACTTTAATTACATGCGCTGAAAGCAAACGAGCCTCGAGAACAAATAGCGCATCTTATAATTTGTGAAGCCAGCATACTTCTCGTAGATAGCTAAAAATTGCTGGATGCAGCTAATAAATGTTTATGAGCTGCAATGTGAGTACATAACTTACAGCTGGAAATGAAATGTGTGAACGCACTTGGAAATATTTAAATATGCTAAATTAATTTTGCTGGCTTTTATTTACAGCTCTCGAATTAGATCCGAGGTTTTCAAATAAATTTTCATGTCGAACTTTTGGGTATTCTGAAATTATAACACAGCTTCTGCTTACTGATATATGTTTGCTCTCTAACCTCGCAAATGCATTTCTTTAATTCTGAAGATTCTAGCAAAACTAATTCGCCATAAAATATTGCTTAAACCTGAAATCTGATTTTAACTTTGCAAGAGGATATTTATTGCAATGAAGAATATGCTCTGTTAATCATTCATATATTCTTTGGCTGTGGTTTTATGTAGGAGTTGTATAACCTTTTCTTGAGTGTAGTTTATTTTGAGAACCTGCAGTGGTTTCTTTGCATATAAATGAGACTACTGATGCTATTTGCTTTCACGGTATTTATTTTTTAAAATCTTGACATGTACAACTAAAAATTTTGTGAAACATTACTGTGAAATACATAAATTTTATTTTACTTTGTCCTCGATGTAGAGCTGGTCCATCAACATAAGAACTAACGGCGGATTTATGCATGCTGCAGGCATTGCAGTCATGTTACTTAAGAATTTCATCATTGGCATTGAGATGCTGAATTGAAAGGTCTGTTTTAATCAGAGATCATAGTGATTTCTTTAGATCATTAGAATTTATTAGATCATACTGATTTTTAGCACATGAAAGTTGTAGAAATGCATGATGATGCAAAAACGTGATTCTTACAATATTCGCAATACTCCCCCTGAATAATAGCATCTAAAGTATAGGAGATGAAACACAGTTATTATTAACAGGTGACAAAATTTAGTTATTAAGATACTGGAGTTGATACTTAACTACTATTGACAAGTACACACTGCTATACGATTTGTATATTATTCTATGAGCATTAGTATATTCTACGAAATTTTCTTTCTTTCTTTCCACCGACAGCGAGGCAGCCGGTCCACTGGGTAGTTAGCATATCGGCCAGGTAGCCCCGCTGACTGAAATAACTTGAACAATATAACACACTTATAAATACATATTGTGCTCAAGACGACTGCTGGGGGCAGTGCAAACAAATGCTGGACGAAGACGATAGTGCATGATGGAAGAAGGGTGCATTGCGGGTGTGCAGAACAATTTCAGTTACATATTTACAGAGTTACTGAGTAATATGTGAGCTCTGCATGTTTACTACAGTATTATACTATTCGTTTTTACATTTATTAGATTTCGCGCGTAACCGATAGAGGCATTATATTTTAACTATACTATTTTCATAGCCTATATGCAAAATGTCAGTATTCTGTAAATTTGCACATATAACTAAATGCTACTTAGCTAACAGTCTTTAAGTATTAATTCAAATCTTGGCAACCGTAGAAGACTGCCGGATGAATTTAGTTTTCTGACTTTTAACTAGAAGTAGTACATACAAGATAAAAGTTTAAGTAAAAGATATGCGTTAAAAAAATATTGTCTTCCCTCACTAATCCCACGGGGAAGAATTCTCGACAAGCAGACATATTTGCCGTTAAGCTAGTCGCAACAGCAGAAGGTCCAAATTACAGTACTGGCCAGAATACGCTGCTAGATGTTACCCGACAAAAGTTAAAACTAGAAGGCTTCTTCAAACTAATTTACATTCTGGTATGTGTTGACGAACTTAGAAGCTATATAAAAGATAAAATAAAGAGATAATAATACAAACAAGACAAAATAAGAGATAATAACAGGTTAGAGGAATTAAAATCTTATACCTTGATTCTTTTAATTGAATTATAATTGCTATATATATTACTAGCCTATACTCAAAATATTATCGTCAACAGTTTCGGCAAAATGGTTTTTGATTGAGTATGACAATCAAATACATAGAGACCAGAGATACTGACTTTTCTTCTGCATATGCAAGGATCACTGTGCATAAATCCAGAGGGAATAAGATAACTCATATTTTGGTCTGAAATTGTAAAGACCTACCTGTTTTGTTATTTTACTATTCAACTTCGCATTTATTTTTGGTCACCTACGTACGCGTTTTCTTTTCTGGTGCTATCATCGTTTCGTACATTTTATGCCCATGGCTGCTTTTATACGTAAACCGAGAAGTAATAGGTTAATTGATCTTGAGCTAAGATTTCTAACTACTGGTTTTGCTTAAGTGCCGGCTCTTTGATTATAGATAACGCTCATGTACTCGTGAACCCACTGTAGTTTTAGTCTTGTGTCTTCTGGAAAAGAATGTCTCTGAATGTCTGATAATTTTGTTTTCGTAGCGTTAGCCATGGATACCTTTCACACTTCAAATTCAGTAAATGTAGACAAGTATGATATCTTCTAAGCTGATAGTACGTTATAATGCAGGTCTCAAAACAATCCAATCGACCTAAAAAATTAAACTAGTAGTTGTTAGGGTCCCATCTTCCAAGCCTGCCGAGATATGAGTCGAATGTCTGCGTGTAACGAAGAAAAAAGTTTCATACATTTAGTTATTGTTCTTAAAGCGTGTATAACTGACGCTATAATCCTGCATTCTAGAACCAGGAATCCTCTTTAGGCCCCAGGTTGTATTATGTCTCCATTATTTAAGTTACATCAATAGAATAATTTGCTATTCTAACTAAGCCATTAAAAGCATATTTTGTCCTCAAATTTATAATATTAGTGTGACTAGTAAAAGGAGTTTCTAATGTCATATGTTACTTATTTCGACTTCAGAAGTTCTCCTTACAATTTTGGATGTAGACACATCTGCTTTAACAATAAAACCTAATGATAAACATGAAATTCTGCAACGATATATCAACT